TAATTTCAAATGGTATGTAAAAGAAAAAAAGTTCTGGAATAATGTACCAATACGAGCAGCCGGTTTAGTCGAATTTACATCACGTGGTGTAGTGCGTTTTGCATTAGTGCCATGCGGTGCATTATTTCCACCACTACCCATGGCTTCTCCTCCTCGCATAGCAAGTGCATCATATGGCTCTGTTCTTGAATAGTTTGCATCAAAAAATTTCTTGAACCATTGTAAGAATTCAAAATTGTCTTGGAACCTGCCTTTCACCAGTTTATCAATTGGAACAATCTGCAAACGATTGTAAAAAGCATGTGGAACAAAATAAAAACAAAATAAATTAAAATAAATTAACATAAAAAATATTAACCCAATAGAAAGTTCTGACGATAATAATTTTTTAATGAAAACCTAAAACACGAACTGAAAATATTCAAATAGAAAAAAATATGATAAAATAGATAAAGAAAAGGGATAGAAGAATTATTAGAACTTTATTTCAAAATTACAAATTACGTCGATTATTTAAACGCTGATCATTGAAATTTTTGATTATCCGAATACAAGAATCACTTAATTATGTATGTATACATTTAAACTATATGTCTAACAATGTTTATGTTTTGGGACATGTGTCCTTGCCTCAAATATAATGCTCGGTTTTAATGCCTCATTTAAGTGAACTGTTTTAACAAATTGAACTGTTAGTATGAAAGAAAAAGAGATGTTTAAATATTATTACACATTTTAAAAAAGCAAAAATATGTCTATTTCATAATTAAAAAATTTACAATTAACATTAAGATAATTTACAATTGTTTTATACAATTTTACAAAAATGAATCAATATTATTAAAATTTCAAAATAATTTAGACAATTAGGATTTTCATCTCTATGAAGCTTAAAAATAGCCAATGATAAATTAGATCAAGCTGTATACATACAAATGAATCTTGCATGAAAAAGTTCTTAAATTGTATACCAGTTTCAAAGTATCTACTGATTATTAAACTTTATTCCTTTATGTATTAAATATCTATATTTGAAAAGTATTTAATTTCTAATTAAACAATCCTAAACCTGCAATCTAATTGACATGAATACAAATTTGATTCTTTCAGACCAATTTAAAAAACGCTTATCTGAATAGATTCACCTCCCAATTAATATGGATAATCAACATTTTATTGTATTGAAAAAAGATATTAAATTAAAGCATACAATCAAAAATAATTTATTACGTTTTGCAAATTTTAATAAAACTGTAAATTCTATATCATATATTGTATATATATTGTATATAACAACAAAGTCTGTACCCCCTAAGTATAAAGATTAAAGAAAGTCCAGCCTGTTCTATTCTGCTAAGACAATCTGTTACCTCCTGCTTGAATGTATTTATAGACTGTTAAAAATAACAGTCATGATACCATTCTACTACTATAGTAAATAACTGTTTTAGAAATTTTATTCATATGATGAACATGATGAACATGAACAACATGCTACATATATTATTATTTAAAGCATGTGCAATATTTACTATTGTAGAACAATATAACAAGGAAAATAAATATTTGCTTATATATAAAATGGATAAATGATACATAAAAAAATTGTGCTATAAAATAATTTCAATTTGTGTAACTATACACTTGTATGTGATTGCAAAAGCAAGTGGCGCTTTTTATTATACATGTACAAACATAAATGCAAATATAATATAATCATAACGAATTTTGATGCAACACTTAATTCGATAATTTTTCAAATAATATAGATAAAAATATATAACATGCAAAAAGCAACATTATTAATTTGATCATATTGCTGTACCCTGTTGACGAGGGGCAATGTTACGTTGCTGTGTATGTTTTTGCTGCATTTGCATCTGTTTTGATTGAGGTGGTAAAGGTACCAACTGAGGATTTGATAAGTTATGAGTTCCATCAACACCAGAACCCAGTGGTATGCAACCACGAGCTTCATAAGCATCATATTCACGGCCATCATAATTTGCATCAAAGAACTTCTTGAACCATTGTAGAAATTCAAAATTATCTTGAAAGCGGCCTTTTACCAATTTATCCACTGGTATTACCTGAACCATTTTCATAACAATTAAATTATAATTTTTTGCTTATTGCACTTTGTACAACACTTTTCAATGAAGCAACATGATTCCATGTACTGTGATGAAAGAATATCCTGTTTCATTACTTCAGCTTACCTTGACACTAGTGTCTTGTTTCATTAATATCTATATTTAATTATTACATTTTCTAAAGTTCTCTAATGAAATCTTATAATTACAAATAATGCTCTTAGTTTTAACAGTATTACTGTCAATTTCACATTTCCTGATCAAAATTAATGTTGCACAAAATACTACTTAAAACATCTTTCAACAGTCGAATCTTAAAAGAATCCTCAGAAACATTAAAAATCTTTTGCCTATGAATCTCGAAGCATAAAGTATTAAAATATAAATGCGTAGCTACTTACTTTGTCTACATTCATTTTTTTGAAACCACCCTGCAAAATTTTGAAATTCTGTATGTATTCATGTTCGAGGTTAGTCTTGAACTTGACCCTCTTCAATGGCACACTTCCAGGGAAGAGCATATCCATGAATTGGCAATAAACAGCTCCTGTACATAATTCTTCAATCTTGGTAAATGATGATTGCAGACAGTCATTTACCCATGCCAACATATCATGTCGACTAAGGTTTTCAGTTGTCACATTCGTCGCATAAACATTAACAGCCATACTGATACTCTTTCTTCACTTGGTTACTAAAACATAATGATTCAACATATAATGGGAGAAATCATTACAAGCGAATAAATTGTACGTTATCAACATACTGATTGAATGCAAAATATAGTAACATAAAAAAACAATCAAGCTCTAAAGTCCAGTGCCAAACACAATGATTTCATACAACAAATTTATCAGCCGATCTAAAGCGGGCACTGATATCGTTTATACTGAACCCGAAGCAGACTTAAAAAGAATAACATTCCATTCACTTTTTTGGCTCGAAACACTGACCGTCGACATATTCGGGGTTTTTTTTTCGACATGCCACGATTTCGTTGTGCATACGCATATTCTCGCGGAACGTAATATATACCAGCAACTGATTCACAGCATAGAAATACAATGAAATTTATACATCTTTACGCACTTTTCTGCCAATGAGGCAATAGGAATAGTACAATAACTTACCGAGTATCACGGAAACACCGTAACAGCAATCGGGAGTGGTTCTCCGCACGTAGATGACAAATGTGTACTAGATCGTTCAAATGCGCACACAACGGAAACTTCTAACGGTTCCTTCGGCAACGATTGGACGATGCACGTGCACCACGCCAGATCTCATTCGAAAAATGCACGCGATTATCACTGCGATTGTTCTTTTGCGTTTTTTCTCGGGCACATTTATTTTTACCGCGTATCTGATCCAGCTACTTCGTCGACTCGACCGCGTAGCAACAAAAATTTCACGTGTCTGTCAGCAGAATTAACAAACGAACACAACCATATTCTAGAGAGATTTCAGCTGCCGGTAGACGAGTTCGTTGCTCCGAGATACATTCAAAATCGAAGAATTCGCGATATCCGTTAACAGAGAGTAGATAAAACGTTTAATCTTGACTCACAAGGTACGTGCCATTTCGCGAAGCCAATCTTTTCTATTCGCCAATCACAGTGGTCTTCTTGGACAAAAGCTTCAGGCGCGTAATTATCGCGAATTTTGCTGTCATTCGATCACGCAGAATTGGTATTTTTATTTTTTACATTTTTTGAGAATATTTGAAGTAATGTAAATGACGCGATTGAAATATACGAATATATATTTTATAAAGAGATAAACAAAAATTAGCTTAGTGAAAATGTATGATTATTTTTTCGTGTAATAAATATTTGAATATAGTACAATATAAACAAAGTTAGCTTCAGTTTTTCCATTTAACCGCTGGCATTCGTAACATGCCTTCTGCGTAGAAATATTCTTCAGACTGAGGTTGTAATTTCATTTTGTATTCTGTCAGGGTTATACGATCTGCTTGTTGTACAAGTATCTACGGAAAAAATATAAAATTAATATTCATGATGGCCACTTTCGAATGTTTGTCACTTACGTCAATTGCCATTCTAAAGCAATGCATATTTTTCGACAATTCCAGTCGCCTCTCTATGTTGTCGATGTATTTTAAGTATTTCTCGAGAACCTCGGGAGGCGCACTATTTTTATACAATATCTTTAGTACATCTTCAATTGGTAGATAAATTTGCAACTTTTTGCTCCCTAGCCATCCCTAGCATTTACAAATTAACAATAGTTTCTATTAAATGATGTTTCATGTTATTAGTTTTTATTAAATTATAAAATCTTAATGTGAAACGTGCCTTTGTTAGAAGTAATCTATCAATATCATCCCATTCTTTAGCTGCTGCTCTAACTTCTAATGCAACTTTCTGATACTGCCTAGGAGACACGTCATACTGTTGAGATAAATTTATAGGAGACATTAATTTTCCTTCCGGCACATCCCAGTGACCTTTGCATGCGTGCCTTAGACAGTCAAGAACTGATGAGTTTAGTTGAATTTCTTCATTTCCATTTACTACTTTTGCTATTGTTTGCCATTCTGATAATGCATTATCAAATATCTAATTAATAATTATATCAAAATCTTTGAAATCATTCTAAAAAGATAGTTACCAAGTAACTTTATATAGGATTGAACAAATGGGGTTTCTTTGCAATCAGCTAAAGCTGAAAATTGTGTTTTATAACAATTGCGAAGCTTGTTTAATAATCGGTCAGGATCTCTGGTATTCTTTATGATAATGTGTAAAGTTTTCATCTAAAATATGATGAAACATACTGTGATTTCCATATAGGATTAAAAATTTTACTTATGTTAACTTACAGCTGAATCTATTGATTGTCCTAGCATCCTGTGAAAATGACAAATTAATTAGAAAAATAGAAAAGAAAATAACGATATATACATGGCAATACATACGTCAAAATGTCTGTAATTTCATTTATTTGCAATCTTATAGAAAGATATCTTATGTAAACATTGACAGCATCTAGTCTTTCTGCCAATATCTTTTGAACTAAACTTCTTTTAAGAGTTTTTGTGAGAAATAAGATAATCTACAACATTTTTTTCATTTAGAATATGTAAATATGTTTTACAAGGTACCGTGAAAATTGTAAAGATAAAAAATTACTATTAAAATCGCATTTCCATCCCCACTTATTATTGCTGCATCTAATAAGGCAGTTTTACTGGCAAGTGATTTATATTGTTCTAAAGAATATGGTTGACCAAGTAGAATTTTTCTAAGAGTAATATCTGGTTGTACACCTGACGTTTCTGGATGAAGATTTTGCAGTTTATTCATTGCTAAAACTATGAAACATAGTTAGCATTAGTCAGATAGTTGTCATATAATGCATATCTATGTTTTGTTATTATTAAATTATAAGTTAATGGAAATAGTGAAAATTTAGGCTACTATCATCGCTATTTTAATATTATTGTACTGTATTTGTACGTACTGCAATCGAGTGTTTTTTCTGAGATTATAGATAACATAGGCTTAAGTGGCTGATAATTAGCAGTAGATTTCAAAGATGCTTCTGCAGTCGATGTATTCGAGATTCCAGCCAATAACTTATCGATATCGGTCTTTGATACTCCAAATTGATCCACCTGTCATTTGATATAAATTATATAGTTAAGACAGCTTAGACAAAAAGTTATCATTAAGTCACTGCTGTTAACTTAACCTCATTGTTGTCAAAACGAAAACATAGTTTCTCGCTACTGTTCCAAAAAGCTTCATCGTCTTTGGCAGAAGTCATAATTTCAATACTATCTAACCAATATTTATGTATTTCTCAATTATTAGACTGAAATGTCAAATATTAGATCATAGATAATATACAACATAGTGAATTTAACATCTTGTAGAATGTCATATAGTATAAGCTGATATATCAGTCTCAAAAATAATGATTGACTATTTATAAAGGTAAAATAAAAATAAGTTCCACCTTTAAAAAACTGTCTCATAAAGATCTTATCTGTAAATAAAATATAAGATTACTGATAAGAAATAAATATATCATGTACCATTGACTAACTAGATAGACTGGACATCCATGCTTTTTCGTGTCCCAGGTTTTGGAGGGTCACTTGATTCCCTTACCATTTTCGTATCACATTCTGTCATCAACTTAGGCAAGTATTCCACTATAGCGCTATTGGTAAGAGAAATTAAAATAAAAAAACATGGACATCGCCGTTTCCTCATTGAAAATTATTTATTGAATTGAATCCGCTGACACTTTATCACGAGCAAACATACATATGTATGTACTTACAATAATCATAATAAATAAACGTGAATTTAGTAGACATTGTTTAAAAAGTTCTATCATCATATAGTATGATTTTTCACAAAAATGGACTATTTATTTAATGGGTCTCTTTTTTTTACGATTGAATCTTTTCTACATGATATTCTAAATAAAAAAAAAATACAGCATAATGTTAAAAAGAAATTAATATTTCAAAAATACTTCAAATTTTAAATGGAAACATATCTGCTGTATTTTTGTTTTTAAGAGGAAAATTTTCAAGATAAAGTTGCACTATTTTAAGGCGCACATTCGTTGAAAGTGGAAAGAATTTTTTTCAAAGTCATTTTTACAACATTTCAAAGTGAAAGTGACTGAATTTTAATATTTTTGTTAATATTCTTATAAAATAATTAGAGCATAAAAATTAAAATTTAATCACCTCAATTTCTTTCCAATCATTTGTATTAATTAATCCAGAGTAATTTTTTTCGAAATGAAATGTTTATTAAAGAGATTGAATTTCACGTTGAAACAGTAGGGATACCTATTATAGCAAACGAACACAATAATCTATATGATTGACGTATATTCAAAGGAGTTGCATTTGAATTGCATAAAACTCTGTAAATTCCTTGTAATTATTTCGCCTGAAACTGTCAAAGTTGATTGACTGAGTTTTGAATGACGCGCGTAAAATATTTTAATTTTGCGCGCCGCTATAAACTAAAGAATGTAAGTCTGCCCTCTACTGACGCTTACGTCAGCCAATAGGAAAGCGGCTAAAGGAGAACTGGGTGGGATATGTCATCATTCTGGAAATCGTAGCAAGGTTATTTTGACATGTGTGAATTTCGATAGTGCGTAGCATTTATTGTCATTCTACTACCTTCTACAGACTACTATCAGGTTCGTTTAACTAATATATTATTATTTAATACATTTTTAAGCAGTAACATAATGATATTCAATAA